AACAATGTAACTTAGGTTTGCGTTTATATTCCGATCGTCTGTTTGGTTTCTCAATGGAATTTTGTATTACATCTTTAGATCGAATAATCTTGAATCCTGGAATAAATTATACGATTGGCGTAGCCCAATTAGATTGTCTGCTTGGTTTTTTACGGAACCATGCGTTATCGTGTTTCCAACGAACACCACTTTTTTAACACTTACGAGCAAGTTATTCATTAACTATTGTGGCATGCGACCTGGAAAAGCTCATTTTTGAAGTCAGAGTGCAAAGTCCTTTAACTTGGTACCAAAACTGTTCCAAAGAGTTGTTTTTCGAAAAAAGATATGTATATTTTTAAGGTATAAGACCTCCTGAAGTCTGGCAATAGCATTTGGCAAGAAGCCGGGCTTAAGAATGTAGCAACTCTCTTTAGAGGGTTCAGGGTACTATATCGGAGTTTTGATGTTATTTTAACCGCTGGATTTGACCATTTGTACAGTTCATCGCTATTACATTTTGCCGATTAAAAAAAAAAAAAGATTAAAATGAAAACAAAAACAAGCAAAAAACTCGTTAACAATTTCGAGTGGCAAAAATATAAATGTGCAGCTGAGCGTGTTATTACTCTCCCCCNCCCCCCAGGGAAATGGGGGAGGGAGCACATACAAAATATGACGATTAAGTCATTTTCTGAAAATCAACTCCAGAAAGGAAAATTGATATACCCTAAGGCTTAAATCCGCGTGAGAACTCCTAGCTAAGATAATAAGTACACGAGAGTATATTTATTTCTTCTGAAATCAGTCGAGACGAACATGATAAGCAGTCTTCGTGAAATGTCCAATAATACTGAAATGAATACAGAGGAAACAAAGAAGACGAAATGTAGCGGCAAAATGAACAAAGGTTCTCTCATGTCGCTTCTCTGTGTCATTTATTAAGTTGGGTCCTGCCGTCAAGTTACGTTGTTGACGAGAATCAAACCCCCAAAGGAAGACGGAATCGATGAAAACAAGGCTTGTTATAGATGATATTGAATTACAAAGAATTCTGCAAACAATGCTATAGTGCAGAAAGTAGTGCTGCAGTTTATTGTGAGATTCGAGAAATTTGTTTAATAACACGAGTAGACTCGAATCACATATCACTTACGCGTGTCGTGGGTGACGCTACACGCGTGCAATACCTCTAAAAATGAGTGCTTTCGGCAAAAAGTTGTTGTTCCTTCTTTTCCTCACCGCGGCTCAGAATAACGTGAAAGTTCTTTCACTTTCAGGACATCGCCAAAGAAACAAAAGAAATTTGCCCCAGAAACATAATACTCCAACAATATCTCTGCAGCAAGTCCGCCAGGAAATAGACAAGAAGTTAAGTCAAGTGTGCACTAGCAATGACACACTTTGCCAGGTAGGACCACCAGGGCCGCCCGGAGGTCCCGGTGCGCTCGGATATCCCGGATATAAAGGAGAAAAAGGAGCCCCCGGGATAACCGGGCCGCGGGGACCTTTGGGTCCTGCAGGAGCTCCTGGTCCAAGTGGAAAGCAAGGGCGTCAAGGATCCCAGGGAATTAAGGGCGACGTGGGTGAGGA